GGATGCAAAGGTGTTTTCTTCCCCACCAAGTCTTTTTAATGTTTTAGGATCCCCATTTTGGAATTTGACAGCGCCAGTTCTTTCCCAATGTTTGGACACAAGGGACTGAGACATGCAGGATGCATCTGTTTAAATTCAAATGTCTCATAAAACCAAGATTGCTGTTTAGACTGTAAAAGTATTCTGCAGAGAAAGTTAATTCACCTCCATGAGCAGAGAGAGCCAGAATCCATGAGGTAAATCCAAACTGGGAGAAAAAGGGGGGAAAACATGGAAAAACATGCGCTTTTATATGTTAATTATCAAATCCAGAAATGGATTTAGAATACAAATGATTTGAAATTTGAAAAATCATGTTGTATTATGGACTTTAGCTGCATTATAGATGATCAGGACACTTTATCAATGTGAGGCATCCTGTCAGTCTGTCCGATGGTCCCATTTTTTCTTTCTTTCTTTCTTTCTTTCTGACAGAAACTACATAATAATGCTTTACTTGCTACCGGTTATTAACAGTATGAAAGAGAAACAGAGAGCGGCAGTTGTCACAAATCACCTGGCACATTTAGACCTCAAAGTTCATGTCAGCTGCCAAAGGCTACAACATACGTGAGGCCTAATTTCGGGAAAATGCAGACCTTCTAAAACATAATTTTCTTTTCCTACTTTCGGCCTCTTGCCAGGGCATCAATCATTTTTAATCAAAGATGTCAGAATTTCCTTTTTATTTGTAATTCCATGACTTTGGCACACAGGCAGACTGCAGGTTTGGCCTTTTTTTCAAAGTATGAAACATGTTCTTGTTAAGGTGAACTGCTTTTGTAAAAAAAGAAAAAATGGTCATATGAATTTCTTGCAGCATGGAATTTGTTTTTACCATCAAATTACAATAAACAATGTTCCATGAATAGGTCCTCTCAAAAAAGTGTCTGACATTGTACAGTCATACTTTGGGACTAGTGTAGTAGGTTCCAGCTATGATTTTCTTTGATATTGCTTGCTAAGGACACTGGAGCTGCTCCAAAATGGAAAGCCTATTTGGAAAACATCCCCTATAAATAATGTGTGTGTATATATGATAGCTTGATCCCATTAAAAAAAGCTTCTTCTCGTTTTTAGATTTGGGGTTTGGACTTGTTACGTCAAATTATCCAACAGTGCACAGAAATGTCACTTGACACATGAGGGTTTTTTTGTGTTGTGCCACAGGCTTTTTTTTTTGTTTTTTTTTTTTTAAATATCCTCTTTAGTCTCAAGCATATAATAGCACTGTTTTTTTCTCTAACCCTTCAAATCCTCACTCGGTCCCCCAAAACACAGTGAAGCCTTTGGGGACATGTGAGAATTGATGGTTTACCTCCTATTAGAATTTGCGTGTGTGTACGTATTTGTATGTGTGTGTGTCCCTTTGAAGTTTTGAAGTCCACCCACCCTTCTGTGGCCCTACATTGTGCTGAACAGCTCCATTTGTCCCACCTTAATCCCCTGACGTAAACTCACATAAATCACACTGAGTTGTTTCTAAACGTGGGCAGGCTGGAAAACTCTGTCTCTGTCTCTATGTCTCGCTCTGGTTTCCAACTCACATGGAGAGTTTGTTAGCTGCTGGGTATTCATTTAACTGACCACCTGTATTGATAATGATATCAGCTCAAAGTAAAAATAAATGCATGTCTCCTTTGATTGGTAACCGTTGGTTTTCCTCCCACAGAAGTAGTGAAGAGCCTACATTTGGTAAATGCACACCCACTTTAATAAACAGTAAAACAAGCTAATATTTTTATTTTTAAACACACCAGAAACAGAAAAAAATCTTGTACAGTTTTTTAAATGGGCCATCAAGCTTGATTCTTGTGAGACATTGTGTCTCTAAGAGTGGCCTAAGCAGATTCATTTGCAATTGCATTTACAAAGAAGACTAGTTAAAAACATTTAATTAATAATACTTGAATTCTGTGTCACTACAATAGACCAGATCAAATGATTAGGGATGTACCGAAATGAAAATTCTTGGCTGAAGGCGAAGCCGAATAATGAAAATATTTGCTGAATACTGAACAAGTACATGCATATTTTTTCCATGTATTTTGCCTTTTATTTTTACCATTGCATAAATTAAATCAAATCAAAATGTCAAAATGTGCTTTTTACTCAGTTTTTCCCACAGGATTTGGAGAGACTATTGGAGGTGGTTCTGAGGCCCGAGAGGGTCTGGAAAAGTAAATTACGTGTCCATTTACTTTCAATGGACACATGTAATTTATTTAACGTTTTATACTTTCTGTGAATATAATCCAATTAATCATATAGCCATCCTGTATAGACACCTTATTTGAAAAAAAAAATCTTCAGTCTTTTGACTTATTAGGATGAACACCGAAAGTGCTTTTTTTGCTATATGTTGCTGATTAATTTCGGTGGCCAAACATTCGGTGCATCCCTACAAATGATGGCATTGCACTTGTCAGTAATATTCCTCAGTGCTTTTCCATGACTTTTACATACTGGGACATAGTTTTTGCCAGTACTTATTAGTTCTAGAGATGTGGCAGCATCACCCAAAATACATCTAGGCCAACTTCTCTCTATCGATGGCTCTGGGCCAGATTAAAGTGCCGGGGCTCATTGTTGACACAGCTCTGTGGTACCACGGCTGAGCAGGCCCAAACAATGGGCCCCTGCTCCCCCTTGTAAGAGTGTGGGGAAGAATGGAGACCTCTTGACATGGCAACCTGAAGCCTCAATGCCCCTACTTCACGTAGCTGAGAGGGTCAGAGTGTGCAAGAGGGGAAAAGGGAAAAGAAGGGAAGTTAGAGATAAGGAAGAAGGGGAATGGAGAACTGGAAATGGAAGATGAGGAAAGGAGGCAGATATGGGGGGTGGGGGGTGGGGGGGTGGATAGAGGAACAAGATGAGAAGAGGTAATACTGAATGGAAAACAGTAGTATAAGTAGGAAATGGGATGCAGAGAAGAATTGAGATCTACAGCTTTTAGGAGGCAGCAGAAGTATGAAAGGTTGTAAGGTAAAGAGCATCTGATGGCAAGAATGGAAGCACATTATCTCCTTCAATTCACGGTGGTCGTAACCTCCAATAAGCCTAAATTATCTGATACTGTTGATTCATTTTTGATCTTCAACTCACTTGTAATGAAAGGCCTTTTTTTTACTTTATTGCCAAGACTTAGATGAGAAGATCGATACTACTTTCATGTCTGTGTATTAAATATATAGCAGAAGCCCTTTGCTATTAGCGTAGCTTTGCGCAAAGATTGAAAGCAGGGGGAAAAGCAAGTCTGACTCTTGTACTAAAATCTGAAATCCGGTTCTAATAGATAGATATTCCATCTATTTATTTCAAAGAACTTGAAGATAACAATATATAAGGAATAATCCTAGGAATCAGAATTAGAAATACTTTATTGATCCCCGAGGGTAAATTCCTGCGTTACAGTTGCACACATATCACATCAAAGCATAGGAATAGAAATAATAATAGAAAGAAAGTAGATAAAGAGATATATAAATATAACGGTATAAATATAAAAATAAAAATAAAAAATATAAAGAAAAATATAATGTATGGATATGTAAAATATTTACATTATTAAAGAAATGTAATCGAGAACTGTAATGGTGAATAAATAACAGCAGAATTGCAGCATAGTACTGTGAGTTATTGAAAGATAATAACAAACATAACAAAAATAGATAATAATGTCCAGTTGAATAACTAAGTGCCCATTTGTCAGACACTTAGAGGGAGGAGTTATAAAGTTTGATGGCCACAGTCAGAAATGACTTCCTGTGGCGCTCTGTTGTGCATTTTGGGGGGGATGAGTCTTGCACTGAAAGTGCTCCTGTGTTTGAGCAGCAAGTCATGGAGTGGGAAGGAGACATTGTCCAAGATGACATGTAGGTTGGACAGCATCCTTCTCTGACACCACCAACAGAGAATCCAGCTCCACCCCCACAACATCACTGGCCTTGCGGATCAGTTTGTTGAGTCTGTCAGTGTCCGCTACCCTCAACCTGCTGCCCCAGCATGCAACAGCAAACAGGATGGCACTGGCCACCACAGACTCATAAAACATCCTCAGCATCATCCTGCAGATGTTAAAGGACCTCAGCCTCCTCAGAAAATAGAGACGCTTTGGCCCTTCCTGTAGAGGGCTTGAGTGTTCTTGGTCCAGTCCTGTTTGTTGTCCATGTGCACTCCCAAGTATTTGTAATCCTCCACAATGTACACACTGACCCCCTGGATAGATACAGGGGTCGCTGGTGCCTTTGCTCTCCTTAGATCCACAACCAGCTCCTTAATCTTTGTCACATGGTGCGAGCAGAACCATCTGCAGCTCAACGTGACAAAGTCCCCCACCACAGCTCTGTACTCAGCCTCGTCACCCTTACTGATACATCCAACCACAGCAGAGTTATCAGAAAACTTCTGAAGATGGAAGGACATATGGCAAACCATGTATGTGTCCCTGTGTCACAACCTGAGGGACAGCGAGTGACACGGCCGACTGTGCACTTAATGTTCGCTGCGTGGCAGGTTACATCTTGTTCACTTGTATTTAGAGTTTATCTTTTTTGATTTTGTTGCAAACTCCTTTAGTAACATTGTTTAAATGAAACAGTCATGCCAATAAAACACACTGAAATAAACTGAACTGTAAGAAAAGTCTTAACCAGTAAAAATGTATTTAAACCACTACAGGACCTCGTGTGTGTGTGTGTGTGTGTGTGTGTGTGTGTGTGTGTGTCATTGTTGCAGCACATAATAACCTCTCCTCTGTTCTGTAGTCTCCATCAGCTTTATTTCTGTGTTAAAATGATGCATCAGACTTGATTATACTTTTCCTATGATCTTCTGAAACAGTGCAGTTAGAAGGATTGTAAATGTCTTGTTTCAATTTGCCCACAGTGGGTCATCATTAGCATTCAGAAGTGGAGGTCATCACTTTTCTTTTTTTTCATTTCCTTTTTTTTTGGTCACAGGTCACTTTCTTGGCAACAATACAGTCATTGACGTGCTTCGTCGCCAGGGATACGAGGTGGAGCACACCCCTGCTGGGCAGACCATAAACAGGTAAATTTTGTGTGCACACACACAAACACAGACACACTCACCTAGTGACACATTTAACAGACTAGATTTTGTGATTTATTATGGCAATACACTGTGCAAATTTAACTTATCCCCTTATCCCCTAATATTATATGAGGACCTAATTTGACTAAATTACTGCAATTTATCCTCCTGAAATCCAAATTATATTTTTCTTATAATTTTGGTTTCATGCAACGCTGAACTTTTTTTTCTGTTTGTGAGTTCAACTGCCTAAAATCCTCTAAATTCCTCAAATTGCAGAGTAGTGTCTGCGACAAAAAGGAAACAACTTTAGTTGCATTAATGACAGGAAATGATCATTTGCTGGTACGAATCCAGACATGAGACCCACCTTCACTTTTACATACAAACATTCAAAATCTGAAAATCAACTTAACATTTTTCTGATGTATAATGAAAGACATGGTGGGTATAGTAAAGTAATTCAGGGAGACAATGATAAAGGAGTGATTTGGTCAGGACCTTCTCTGTATTGTGAACTGATGTTTTCAGTGTAAGAGATTGGTTTTGGGCAATTTAATTTTTATGGAATAACTTTTCATAAAAAGCAGAAGAAATATCTGAGAGACCAGAGAAGACAGAAGAGACTAGCTGTAAAAGTGAGAAATACAGAGATGATGGCTAGAGAACTGGGAAGAAAATATTATGTTTCTCTATAGATGTTGCACATTATGATTTCTTCCGAAAACACAAGTCTGTAAAACTCGAAGTCCCATATTTTATCACTTAAATGGGTTTAAGGTTTCATATCCCACTCACATTATACAGGGCAACCACTACCTCATGGCCCTAACAGAATATATATTTCTCTCAACTTTTTCACTGACTGTATTTCAAATGGGAAATCATTTTCCGAGTAAGCACAACTCCATAGTTGGTGTGTGTTCATTTGCAGACCCAAAACAGATGTTCAAGTTCTGCTTCAGCCCTTTTGAGAAATGTGTTGTCTGCCAATAATCAAAAACTGCATTCAGTAGTTATCCATTGAGTGATTCTTTTGAGTACTTCCTTAACATGAGTATGTTAATGTTTCATCGCCTAATTTTGAAGTTTGTCATAGTTTTATTAATGTACCGGCACTATTGATACTGGAGAGTGTTTGTTTACCTAATGGCAATGAACCACTAATCTACTAATCACAGAAAATAAAATAAATTGCCAGTTTCAGAGCGATAAAAGGAATTGCATTGGCTTAAAACTTTCAGCACTAGAATTATTAACTTATTAACTGTTCTTAGTCATCTTTTCTAAAAGTGTGAAGTTTGAATAGATTTCACAAACAGTTAGCTTTAATTTATTCCAAGTGTTGCTACCATTGGTTTGAACTATTTGACTGAATCAATGTTAGTCTGAAACAGTGAAGCTGTTAGCTTTATCCATTAGCGATGAGCTAAGTTATAATACTTCAGTAAATCAAACCCTGTTTTGATAATATTTAGAATTGCTGTTTTTTTAGCAATAAACATTCAATTTATTTATCTCTATATATTTGTTTAGAGTCCACCTTTCCCTTACTTGATTCAAAGTGCTCTCGAGTGCACAAGGAATCCACAAGAAACAATGAAACTAATAAAGCTGTGGCTAATAAGACGCACACCTAACTTCTCAGCAAAGTAACCGACTTAACTGTACCCTGATGTTGAGTGGAAAACTACTCACACCATTTAAGTTTATTTGGCTGCACTGTAAACACATATACCGGTTTCATGTCATGGAAGTTTGGTCTATCAAAGCGCTCTTACCACAGTAACCACAGGTGTCGCCAAAACAATACAGACAATAATTGCTGTCTGATTACAACTTTAAAAGCAACAAAATTGATTCTAAGTGAGTAGCTTCAAAATGTGTGTGCAGCCAAAGAGGCAGTATCACAGTATAAAATCCAATTCACCCAAAGGCATACTGTAAATGAGGTTCAAAGCAAATAAATGATCTATTACAGTAAAATGACTGATACATTTTCTGCATGCAGTAATAAGTAAAGAAAGGATCTTTTGTGTTGTTGGAAATGTTGGACTATGTAACTGTTTGATGAAGATTAAAATGAATAATTAGTGACTATGATCATGCAGAACTCAAACATTTATCATGAACCAAGCTTGAGCTTTTTGTAAGTACAGTCCTGTAAATGTAACTGACTGTGCGGAGTCAAGGACAGCAGTGTGGTGGTATGATAGTTGTAGGGATCTCATGTTTGGATATTTTAGCTTTAGAAAAAAAAAAAAAAAACGCTCAGCAATGTCTATTCATTGGGGCCTTTCATTTTTTCCCTGCTGTTTTCACCATGTAGATCGCCCTGCAGATAGATCTGACAAAATTCCCACCGGCCACCAATGAAGTGTTGTTGAAAAAGCCAACTTAAGCAGAGCTCATACCTCCTGCTGTGAAGCATGTAGTGCAGTCTACCATGGCACACTGTGCGGGAGGCTATCTCAGTGCAGATCTGTGTGCTTGTGTGTGAGAGTGAATGAATGAGTGAATCTACTTTCTTAAACAATCTCTGTGTTTGATGCAGGATTATGAGCCTGACATGAACCTATGTCTGCAACCGTATGGCCACACATAGCTCTGCAAAACGGTAGAATTATATCGGACTTTGTTTAAATATATTTGAATTCTAATTTGTCCAGGTGTCGAGATAAGTTTGCTGTCTTTATGGTCAATATGAGTTTATTGCAGGTCATTGTGTTGGGGGTGTAAGTGAGTGTGCGTGTATGTGGGTGTGTCTGCATGCATGGTGATTCTTAAAAATAGTTGCTGACCTCATTAGAGATGGCCAGCAGCTCATCAAAAGGGTGAGTGTTTTTAATCAAAAAGATGAGTTTTGGTTTTGCTCTCATACTTCCCATTCCGGTACTTTAATTAGTTTTTCCAGATAATGTTGGATATGTTGTCTGTTAGACTGAATATTGGTTCTTGGATGGTTCACAGCATCCTGTTCTTAAATAGCAAGAATTCCTCCTCTCCTCTGCCCTCCCCTTCTGTCCTTTTCTTTGCTTTAATTTTATTTGGTCATGATTTCGCCTGTCCTTTCAAGGCTTGATGGGGTACATCCGCTTTCGCCAGGTCACGTTAAAGGAGTACTGCACAGAAAATCTATACTCACTGACCATAGACTTTCAAGATACTTCAGCTCTGAAAATGTTGGAGCTTATCCCTTGATAGAGGATTCTAAAGTGGGACACACTCCTATAATATGTATCCTGAGGAGGCTTGTCTCGCTAAACCAAGCTCAATTATGCATTGGCATAAATTTGGCCCATATTTGGATTTTGCAAACTTTGACTTATCATTATTATCATTTGGTCTCTGACAATGCAGTACAAAACAAGTATTGCTGAGACTCACATGTATCTGCCATCATTTGCATGCAAACCTAAACTCGTAAGTCCACACTGTTTGCTGAACTTATAAGGCAGGTCCTCATTCTATAGAAGAAACAATAAATAATATCTAGACCTCATACCATTTTACCCCAGAATTATTGATAATATTACATGGGAAAGATAGGTTACATCATACATATATCCTGACATCAAAAGTCACATTTAACTGTTGAGTGCAAGTGGCATATGCTGTGAGAAAAATCTCTTTCAAAAGTATCTTATGTTCCTGTGATGTGCATTGTTTAGGAGGTTATCCAGACCTGCCTCGCCAGAGTCAGAAGACCACCATGATGAGCCACCTCTCTTGGAGCCTTTCCTTCATGAGCTCCCCGACAAAGAGGATGATCAGGGGGCGTCCCCTAGAGGAGGATCTGTTACCTCACATGCTCCTGCCACCAGATAGCCTGGAGCTGCTGGAGAAAGCAGAGAGGAGGATGCTAAAAAAAAAGAGAAGGAACAAGCAGAAGAAACAGCGACACCGGCATTTTAACGACCTCTGGGTTCGCATCGAGGAGAGGTAAGAGGTGGGGAGGAGGGAGGAGGGAGGAGGGGGGGCATCTTGTTTCTTATAAACATCTGTCATTAATATCTTGTCTGCTTTTTTTTGAAAAAAAAAAAAGGGATTAGGAACAATGTAGAAAAGGTGGGACAAAAGGTCACAGGTGGGGACAAAAGAAAAGAATGATGGTAAAAACTCAGAGAAAAAAATGTGTTAGAGGAGAGAGGGGAAACTGGAAATGTGTAATGCACTTTCCACTTATCTATAGAATAAAACTGACACTTCCTGGTGTGGCGCCGCAGGCTCCAACATCCACCGTATCACATCGCCATAACCTCCATGCAGTCTGTGAAGCACATAAACACACACACCCTGCAGTGTGGTATGAGTCTAGACTAGTTCCTAGCTGGTATAAGTGTCTTGAATGTGAAAATAGCAGCCTGGGAATTCCTACTAAGTATCCGGTTTTGGTCACACAGTAGCTCCAGGCAGAGACTAACATTAGAACAAAACAAGCTCACCTTTCAGAAAAAAATGAGACCTCTGCAGGTGTGGTCTGTGTTGACATTTCTCTCAGTTTTATGTTTGATTGTGCATGTAGGCAGGAAGCAAAATGGTTAATTTGACCCTCTATCCATCCATTCACACCTGCAGGCAAGTTAGTGTTTCCTCTTCATCTGACTTGCACGTCTTTGGACTGTGGGAGGAAATCTGAGCACCTGAAGGCAGGCCACGCAAACACCCTGGGAACATGAAAACTTTATTTACAGCTATGTGTTTAAACAGCTTCAGCCCAATTAAATTCATATCTCATTGCCTCATTAGGGAAACTGAATTAACTGCACAATCAACAGCCTAAAGGTCAGGGTGACAATCTTAACTCTCAAAGAATTCCTTGGGCAATATTTTCTGAGCAAGCTCTTGACCTTGTTTACCCAGGAAAGTGAACACTGGGCCCGTCGTTGAGTTGTTACACATTTCATTTCAGCACAATACAATACAAAAACAGGACAAATTAGAAAAAAAAAGAAACCCTGGTGTTGCATTGCTTTTCTTTTTAACCTAGTTAGTCTACAATCATACCAGTGATTTCTAAATCCTGATGATCACCTAAAAATGGTTAAGGTTTTACAGTAACTGGTAGGTTTCAGAAATGGTTAGAGATAATTGTGGCTAAACGGTGGGTAAAGACTTGCAAAATTGGACGAGTGCTGGACTCTTAAGTATAGTGATTTTATGTATGAACATCTATTTTTCCATGTACAGTATACAACGCTTCCAAATTACTGACGGAAAGAAAAATCCAACCATGTAGCGTTTGTTCTTCACTTGAACAGAGGGGGTTTGTCAACGTTTGTGTATATTATGTCTACAGAAATATTTTTTCTCTTTCTGAGAGACCTTCTATTTTGAACCCAAAGGAAACAGACTGTTTGTGTACACGCGTTACAAAGTGTACACGGTGCACGTCTTTGTATATTTTAATGTCTGAAAAGGTGGCTGCGTGAGAAAGGGAGAGGGAGTCCAAAAAAACAGCTACAGCGCCACAGTTCTCTGTTGTGTTTGATGCAGGGCCACAGTGCAGTGTGTCACAACTGGTTTCCTTACACCTCTCCTGGCTCTCAAAACTAAATAAACCTCGCTTCATAAAAATGTTTTCCCTGTTTTCCAGTATTTAAATATCTGCTTTCGTAGTTTACAGAAATGTTATAGAAGTATATTTAATTTTATTTAATATTTAATTAAGTAAATTACCTGCTCCCTGCTTGTTCTGAAATGATCTGCAATTAACAAAAAAAAGATATAATAACTAAAGCCTAGAGCTACAGGCAGTATAGCCTTAAGCCAGGACCAATCCAAACACCATGGTGACATTGTGAGGGAAATAGTTGAACAGTTGTGTGATCAGCATTTCAAACTGACCAGTAGTTGGAGAGTACTGTTATTGTTTCCAAAATAATATGGTCTCTTAACAGTCTTCTAATCTATTAGGAAACTTCTAGGTAGAGCTTGTCACTGGGATGTATGTACTGTTGCCTATTTGTATGTCATTCTCACATTTGTCACTGACTCTAACACAGCATGTTTTGCGACGTATCTTATTTTGAGTGGCGCTTGACTCTCCAAACCTTTCCATCTGTGCACCTTCTTCAGCCAAGAAGATTGCAGTCCGCCATCCAAACTGAAGCTCAACTGTCCACAATAATCCCTCCAAGCATACTCTTAGAAATTTAGGGCATGATTTAATTACTTTTTTGAAATGATGTTAGATGTTTTATTGTCTTATGTTGGTGCTTGGCAAATCTTTCCCAGCAAAACATATATCCAGTAAAAATGGTACAGTAAAGTACTATTTTGCTATTGCTGTTGCAGTCCACTGGTATCAGGAGATCCTGACTTCAGGAACTTGTGTGTTTGTTTTGCCTGGCCTTGTCCCAGTCCAAACCACACAAGCACTGCTGCCTCTGCATCAAACAGGAGAGCAGAAATGATTTAATGGCCAGACTTGTTCAAAAAAGTGCAGATAAAGAGAGAAATAGAGACAGAATATGATATTAGGAATGTGTAGGGAAAAAAACAGAGTAGAGACGGGTGGGCAGATTGGCAGTTGGTTTATAGCCATGAGCTTTGCACGCCCAGGAGTTTTGTGTTTGCTAATCTCTGCTGATTGGTCAGTGCTGTAGCAGCGGATTCCTTTGTCAAGAAATGTTCCCTTTCCAGCCTTCGCCCTCATTAATATTTCCATTGTTTTCTTCCTGCAGTCTGCATATTTTCTCTGGCAATATGGTATGATATGGGGCTGCAGAGAGTCCTGTTCTTCCATGAATTTCCTTTCAATCCCAAAATACAGTAAAGATAGAACAGAATGCTGCATGTTTTTTAATTATGAAAATTAGTTTGGAAATAATAAGGTCCTGCCCAAACTGCTCTAACACTTAGTCATTTAGCTGACGCTTTTATCCAAAGCGACTTACAATTGCTATATATGTCTTACCCACTGCGCCATCGATACCCCCAGAAAAAAGTTTTTGAGTGTTATTTTTTACAGCTGGTAAATAAGCAACAATCAAATGTTATGCTAGGAAACAAACATCCTTTGCTATTATTTATTGAAAGGATTTTGGGTGTGATTTGATTGCAAATTGACAGCAGCAAGGCAACGTGAGCAAACAACCCCACAAATGTTGCTAAATCCTGATTAGTTTCACGGACAAATGTGACTGCACATTTCTTCTTAATTTTTAATCTAATTTGTATTTTATACTCTTTTGCCTTCTCTCCACAGTACTATGGTCCAGTCTCCGCCTCCCCCACTTGTTCGCATCATCAATGGTTACATCACAGTGCAGCCACCTGACAGAGTGCACAACCACTACAACTACCATCACATATCTTCGGCATCTACCAACTCCTCGTCCTCACCATCTTTACTCGTCTTCCTCTGCACATTGCTTACAGTGCAGACGTGTACTGTGTTCCTCTAGTAGAGCATTAATTGGCCCTCTTGAGTATAAACTCAAGTGTGGTGGTTTCATGTATCAGCTCATGTGCAGTGAGGTCTGATCATGCATCATAATTCTGCAAATGAGGGTGGTGACTCTCAGAGACAAGAAAAAACGTGGAGAAATGATGTGAAATCAGCACAAGCTGTCAGGTAACAGTACACTCCATGGATGTTATGTTAGATAAAGTTTGTGTTGTTGGGACTGAATGGTAAATCATGTCAATAGGGCATGTCTCTTACAAATGGAGGCGGTTATGAGCATGTAAGTTCATATAACGCTAGGTTTCTTGGAACAGGTTTCATAAGGTTTCCATTAATTTAGACACGCACAGCTGGAGCGAGGACACACAACGCAGCAGGAAAGAAACCAGAAAGCATTATCGGACATCTCACTGACTTTACACAGCATGTCAGCTGCATTATGGATTACAGTGTTGAGTGTGACACTTGTCATTCAACATTCAGACCTCTGAGAATATAAGATCTCACTGAAGTGACTGTTCAGTGAATGAACACCATCACACGTCATCATCCAAACTATTGTTGAATATCAAATACCTTCAATAAGTAGAACTGGAACCATATGTCCTGTGTGTGTGTGTGTGTGTGTGTGTGTGTGTGTGTGTGTGTGTGTGTGTGTGTGTGTGTGTGTTTGGTTGCGTGTGAGACACACAAAGTCTATCAGCTCTTAAACCCCCCCAGCCTTGCAAACAGAGGCGTTCCTTTTCAGAGCATAATTTATTCTTCTATTTTAGAAGAATGTGTTTAATGTTGCATAAAAATCTACTGTGGGGGAAATTGTACATATTGTTTCTAAATATTATAGATGTATTTTAGAATTATTACAAAAATGAAAATTATCAGACATTTTGTTGTTGTTTATATAAATATATAAATAGATATGCAGTATATTTTTGAAAAGAAAATCAGGAACTAACCACCATAGCCCGTGTCATGTGTCTCACTGAAATGGCATTTTTGAAAGGGACATATGTTTGTACTTTCAGTATTAGTGTTATCACCTGCTTTGCTGGATGTATCTGCTGAAATGAGTCATGTTATGTGTTTTTTGTCAAATAGAGATGTTTTGTTTAATTTATTTAACTACTATAGTTTTGCTGTAGGCCATATGAAACATTCCCAATGGTTTTATATGTATTTTATGCAGTCTCTATGATGTCCAAATGTGTTCTATTAAATGTTTTCAAGTATGATTCCAAATGCATATGATGGTGATAATAATTCAGTTTTAAATAAATGAAGCCGTCTACACAGAAAGACCACATACAGCATAGTCCTTTAGGCTCTTCACATTTCACTTATGGCATGAGATGATTGTAATAGTATTACCATGACAATAATAAAATATTTATCTAGACCAAAATCTGATTCTGCCCCTCATGACTGACTGCAGTGCTAATCAGTGGAACCTACCTTTCAAATTCATTCAGTTGTTGTTTTGGTTTGTAGAAAAATGTCTATTAGCATGTATTGCTGTTTACCATGGCATCATTTTTTGATACTACCACTGTGAGTCGCCAAAGTGAGACTTTTTCAAATTCTAAACATATAAGGGCTTTAAAGGTCCAATGTGTAAATTTTTGTGCTATCTAGAGGTTAGGTTGCGAATTGCAACCAACAGATCAGTCCACCGCTCCACCCTCCCTTTCCAAGCTCATCGGAGAGGCTACGGTGGCTGGCACAGGACAAAAGATGCCGTCGTCTGAGAACGTAGAGATTAGCCAGTCAAGCAATGAGGTTTCTTAATTAATTATTCAGTAAAACCATATGTTATTGAAAATATTATGGTAAGTGCTATGTGATGTTGCATACTCCTTGGCCACTAACAGATAACATGGAAAGTGTAACCCAAGAGTGTGTACCATTGTCACAGTTTCTGTACCGCAGTCCATTATAAACAACATAATAAATTAAGTTTACAAAGGCATAGTTATTTGAGGGTCAAGGGTCCTCTCAATCGGATCAAATCTTACCAAATTGGCTTTTTAATTTTTTATTAATACAATAGAAACACAAAGTAGTACTGCCATAATTTGAGCTTGTGGTAAAATGATTGCAATGGGCATTTACTCTGTAAATGATCAAATTACACCTTAACTTACTCTTCATTTATGCAAATTACTAAACATTAGTAAGCATTATTGGTCACTTGACACACTCTTGTTATCGTAACATAGTTAACAGTAAAAATAAATATTTCCCACTAGGGGAGTAAAATGTGAAGTTTAGCTGGCTGATCTGAGCTTCCATGCTGTATAGTTCTATTGCCAATAATATTCATCAGCTGTTCCGCATTTCTGTCCACTTAGCAAAGCCAAAATACAGTGTTACAGAATAACATTACATGCAATTACAATCCAATTATATATTTTTTCACATTGACATGGGAAAAACATTACTTCTCTTGGTGATTATGCCCATCTTTTGACAAAAGCCACCAAGTTTTCATTTGTGTTGCCAAAGTTGAACTTAATTACCTGTCCAGCAGAAAACAGGCAACTTTGGCGCCGCTTTAAACAGTTAACAGTTAAACGGTTTAAACAGTTGTCCCGCATCAGCACCTTCCACTGGGAAAAGCCACACAGATGTTTATCCTTGATTTCTGCCGTCGTCTTTCTCGACTTCATCTGGCTTCATTTTAATTTCACTTCTTTGACAACGAAGATCCGCGTGTGGTCCTCCATTTGTCCATATTTTACTTCTTACTTCTAATAAATCAGATGAATACTACTTTCTTTTTCTTCTTACATATTCAATATAGGGACAAAACGCACCCTGTAAGGCAGTTTGTCAGTTTTGGTCTACTGTAGAAACATGGCGCCGCAACATGGCGACTTCCGTGTAAGGAGACCCACAGTGTATATAAATAGAAATGGCTCATTCTAAGGGAAAAAAAACACAAAAACACAACGGTTCATTATGTAAGGTCTTTATACACCACTGAAAACATAGCTCTGTATATTATATTGCATTTCTGTCAATAGATCCTCCTAAATATTACACAATGACCCACAACAAGCTGCTGTAAATCAATATTTTCATATTAACAATGGATCAAATCGCGATGTGCAATGTGAAAGGGGTTGATGAGGGGTCATGACAAATCTACACATACTGAGCACCTTTTCTCAAAAACAGAGCCAAAAGGTGAGCGAAAATTTGGCTTACAGTGCATTCATCAGGTGGACACTAATGTTGCTCTGTGTCTGGTGGATGCTTAAACAAGCATCTGCTACCATGCTCACCAGGATGGCACATATAAAACATTAAAAGATTCCGTATTAATTCATTGGCAGGCTGTGTTACTGACCTTGCACCTTTGAATTAATCTAGTACATCTGTACAATAAGCATCAGGTTTATCTCAAAATGTCTTGACACATATGACATCTGTATGTGAAGACATTATGTCAAGACATTTTAAGACACATAACTAAACACTGACACAAGTAAGTAGTCTGGTAGTAGAACCTACTAATTGAGTGTTCTGGCTGTACTGAACAAATGTGTGGGTGGGTAAAAACACACTGCCCTCCTGCCCTGACCCAGGGTTCTTGGTGTGTTTATGTGATGTTAATGTGCTGTGATAAGGCTGCTATTAGAAGCTGTTTGATGTGTGCATGTGGTCCACCACAAACAAGGCAACTTCCATGCCAGCGTATGTCGACCCTGCAGGAAACAAACAGGAAACCAGAGCTAAGGTATTCTTTAGATGTACAGGAAATGAGAGTTAATTGATTTGTTATATCAACAGGAAAAGAAAGCTAATTGACTTGCTAGTTTGTGCTTTGAGTGCGTGCGCTAAAGGAGGTCATAGAGGTCTGCGTATAACTGATGTGCAAGAGCAATTTTAAGACAGGAAGCACACAAGACTTACCGGTATATATGAGGTGTGAGGCTTGAGAGGAACCACGCTGATCGTGTACCTTTAAATCCTGAATGTATTTAGTGTTTGCTTATTTTAAAAACATATCTCTTTTTCTATATTTTTCTCTCCACTAAGAGATGCATGCAGATTCCAGGCAATTCCTGGAAGGAAAAGTTAATGTGGCACACTGGTAAATTACTTAATTAGATCTCTAAATAACTTCTGGAATGCAAAGGGCATAGTATACTGATCCTGTTCAACACCAACAGCGTCTGGATTTTCCCTCCACGCATGATTTAGGGCTGTGTCTCTGATATTTTGATTGGTCAGGTAGCATTTGCAATCTGTCTCGCTAACAAATTATACCCCTGACCCCCCCTGGAACCTACATGTAAATGCACAACGGAACACGTGGCACATCTGTGACTTTCATTGTGTGATTGTGTGCTAGAAAGAAAATGTGCAGAGAAAAAGCAGACTTCATTACTAGAGTCATAACTGCAGCCAATACAAACTGCGCAAAAACATTAAACTCACTTCATGTTAAAAGCAGTATGTGACTTTAAACGAGAGCTTTCCTCTTCTCCATGTAACACAAAACTTTGAAAACAACATGCCTTGTAAGTCACTCAGTCATTCTGTAAAAGAATAAACAAACAAAGGTGCAGGTCACTCCTCTAATTGCCTCCTGTTGAGTACTTTTACTGACAGATGTTACAGCTCATTTACTATCAGAAACACTGCATAAAGAATGGTGTGAATACCATAAGTCAAACTGAGAGAGCTAACTGCAGAAAAGAGACATGAGACCAAGATCAGGACCCAGGATCAGGACATATGGTTAAACCCTGATCAGTAGACAATTACTCTAACTCCAATTTGAGTGATGTTTGGTTTTGGCAGGAGGGGGGGTGCTCTTTTACCTCCCTGCCCAACTGTGGTCCATGTGTAATTTAAGCTTGTAAAGTCTGTATGTTGATAACATGTGAGTCTAATTCCAGACTCAAGCCCAGGAGTTCAGTGAACATGATAGACATGACTTGGCTGTAGAATAATATTTCAACCAGAATCTCTTGGATCAACATCACCTGTCCATTACTTGCGCATGAAAACATGCTCACAAAAATAAAGCATTATCTACATGAAAAGGTGAATCTCTCGACATTCAAATCTGTTCCATCCCATAACATAGAGCTTTATCTGGGGTCTGTCACTACACTAGCTTGTGGGATTCTTCTCTCTTTGTTGCCTCGTTCAACACAACATGAAATAAATATGCTCTTGACAGACATCTAGTCCTTAAAACACAATCAAGTAAGAAAATGGGTCTTATAAAAACACACCACACTAGACTGGAGGTGGGGTTTGCCAGATTGGACAAAGTAAACCTGTACGAATTGAAAGCAGATGTCCATGCAGACGTCTGTTTCCTATGGAGCACGAAACAAGGTAAAAATAAAGGCATGGCATTGAAAACCTTATGTAGTTTATGTCCTCTTAATACATCTGGAAAAAATGGAATCATCCAGTATTTATTGGCCCTTGCCAGTATAGCTAAAGTCCTTATTAAAATATCAGGTCCCTTCTTAAAAGTCGGAAAATCACACTGTGTGATACCTAACTGCATTTAGTGAAAGACAGAACTGGTGGACTGTAGAATGAATGACTTTGTTTTCTTTATAACAAACTAAACTATAATAAAAATAAGTGTTTACGTCATAGCGCACATAACTAGACTTCATTAGTTCTGTACCCGTACTCTCCACAATGACAATAAAGTTGAATGTAATCTAAAAGTATGGAACGTTTTTTTTTTAAGACTAGAAATACATTCTATGAATCTGTTCACTAACTTACTTCTTCCTGCCATTGATCCAATCCAGATGAATCAGTAATTCAAACCTTATAATTGTGATTACATGGATACCACTGTCTTCAAATTATTACCACCAATACAGCCAGTCCCTCTGTGCATTTTGAGCCGCAAGGTCAAATCACTTTTCCATTGTTAAAACAAGCCCAGCATGTTATTGTTTATCTGATATAGCACTGGACAATCCCTCACAGTCTTGCATAAATAAGCCAGTGTGTAGAGTAGGTCTCACTGTGGCTATTATTACTGCATCAATACAAGAGTCATAGCAGTGCATTAACTGAGAGCCATGTTAATAAGTGCTCTGTTGACTGAATCCTCTGTGTATTTATATAGTAAATCTCCTTGGGGTTATATATAATATGTTATCAGTGCAGGTTCCAACTTTGACCAATTGGAAGTCATAATGTACTCTGCGTTGGAGATCGCTCATTTCTAGGACATTCTATCAACATTGTAACATGAGGGAAAAACAAAAGGATAAATTATGTATGTTTTATCACTGCTCATTCTTTCTTTATTGCTTCCTTACCCTGTCTATGCCATCTTTTAGTCTTTGGTTCAGTCTCTGCCAGCCTTTCCAAAGCCTTCCTGGTTATACTTTCTTCATTCTTTAGTCTCAC